CCAGGACTAAACCAGGACTAAACCAGGACTAAACCAGACTAAACCAGGACTAAACCAGGACTAAACCAGGACTAAACCGGAACTAAACCAGGACTAAACCAGGTCTAAACCAGGACTAAACCAGCAGGACTAAACCAGGACTAAACCAGGAACTAAACCAGAGAACTAAACCAGGTCTAAACCAGAACTAAACCAGGACTAAACCAGGACTAAACCAGGTTTAAACCAGGACTAAACCAGGTCTAAACCAGGACTAAACCAGGTCTAAACCAGGTCTAAACCAGAACTAAACCAGGACTAAACCAGGAGTAAACCAGGACTAAACCAGGTTTAAACCAGGACTAAACCAGGTCTAAACCAGAACTAAACCAGGACTAAACCAGGTCTAAACCAGGACTAAACCAGGTCTAAACCAGGACTGAACCAGGACTAAACCAGGACTAAACCAGGTCTAAAACAGGTCTAAAACGGGACTAAACCAGGTCTGAACCAGGTCTAAACCAGAACTAAACCAGGACTAAACCAGAACTAAACCAGAACTAAACCAGGACTAAACCAGAACTAAACCAGGACTAAACCAGAACTAAACCCGAACTAAACCAGGACTAAACCAGGTCTAAACCAGGTCTAAACCAGAACTAAACCAGGACTAAACCAGGTCTAAACCAGGACTAAACCAGGACTAAACCAGGACTAAACCAGGTCTAAACCAGGACTGAACCAGGACTGAACCAGGACTAAACCAGGTCTAAACCAGGTCTAAACCAGGTCTAAAACGGGACTAAACCAGGTCTGAACCAGGTCTAAACCAGAACTAAACCAGGACTAAACCAGAACTAAACCAGAACTAAACCAGGACTAAACCAGAACTAAACCAGGACTAAACCAGAACTAAACCCGGACTAAACCAGGACTAAACCACGACTAGAATTTCTCTTCACTTTGATTCGAATCAAGCCCTAAACCTGGTCTAAACCCTGTCTTAAAACTGGTCTAAAGTTAGTCTAACCTGGTCTAACTTTGGTCTAATTTTGGTCTAAACCTGGTCTAAACTTGGTCTAAACCTGGTCTATCTTTGGTCTAAACCTGGTCTATCTTTGGTCTAAACCTGGTCTATCTTTGGTCTAAACCTGGTCTATCTTGTCTTGGTCTATCTTGGTCTAAACCTGGTCTATCTTTGGTCTATCTTTGGTCTAAACCTGGTCTATCTTTTGGTCTAAACCTGGTCTATCTTTGGTCTAAACCTGGTCTATCTTTGGTCTAAACCTGGTCTATCTTTGGTCTAAACCTGGTCTAATCTTTGGTCTAAACCTGGTCTATCTTTGGTCTAAACCTGGTCTATCTTTGGTCTAAACCTGGTCTATCTTTGGTCTAAACCTGGTCTATCTTTGGTCTAAACCTGGTCTATCTTTGGTCTAAACCTGGTCTAAACCTGGTCTAAACTTGGTCTAAACCTGGTCTATCTTTGGTCTAAACCTGGTCTATCTTTGGTCTAAACCTGGTCTATCTTTGGTCTAAACCTGGTCTATCTTTGGTCTAAACCTGGTCTATCTTTGGTCTAAACCTGGTCTATCTTTGGTCTAAACCTGGTCTGTCTTTGGTCTAAACCTGGTGTGACTCTGCCCTCTGCAGGAGAACAGAGGAACTGCAGCACAGACACGGTCAGTTCTCTCTGTCACCGCCAGAGGGCAGCACATGACCGACTCGAAATCCTTCACTTTTGTTTTGGCTGTTTTTTGTTTTTTTCTTCACCTCCTCCTCCTCCTCCTCTCATCTCTGACCCCCCCTCCCTCCTCCCCCCCCCTTCCCCTCCTCCCTCCTTCCCTCCTCCCTCCCTCTTTCTCTCTCTCTTTTCTCTCCTGATCCTCTTACTCTGATCTCTCTAAAGTTCTTCAGGTTCAGACTAAAATACTCCTTTTTTTTCTTCACCTCCATCACATCCTCCTCTTCCTCCACCCGGAGCCTGACCCACAACCTCCAGGACTAGGCCAGGACTAGACCAGGACTAGACCAGGACTAGACCAGGACTAAACCCGGACTGGACCTGGTCTAAACCTGGTGTGTGTTTGTGTGACACGTGTGACTTTTCCTCGTGTCCTGGTTTTTAAGTCTTTAAACTGATCCAATTTCTCTTAAGTCGTTAATCAGGTCGAGCTCAGAAAAGGTCAAAGACTCAGAAACATCTCCACTTTTATTCTCCACTTTTATTCTCCACTTTTTTATTCTCCATTTTTCTTCAGCTACGACACGAGGCCAAAACTAAACTCCTCAAAACATTAAAAAAATCTGAGTCGCTCTAATATTTACAGACAGATTTGTACAGTGACACGCGGCTCCTCTGCACCTGCGCTCAGTTTTAGGTGAGAATTTGAGAAAATGTTTGTTAAAATGTTTGTTAAAATTTTGCAACACAAATTGTAAAATTGTTTTGTAAAAGTTGATAAAAAAGATTAAAGAGGCGGAGTTTTGTGTGTTTTGTGTTCAGTTTTGTGTCATGTTTTTGTGTGTTTCTGGAGGATTGTCGTGTGGGAGCATTGGGGGGGACAAAGCTTGTGGGAGGAGCCTCGTACAGGGTTTGAACACGGCCCAGGAGAGATCCCTAGATGAGTCAAACATGGGTGAATCTAGAACTTCATCAGACGTGTTTGTGATGAGGAACAGGAGAGAAAAACACCTCCTCTTTAAAATAAATGATATGAATGGAGTGTGTTTTATTTTGATTTGATGAAAGTGACCGTCAGGTGCAGAGCGTCAGGTGCAGAGCGTCAGGTGCAGAGCGTCAGGTGCAGAGCGTCAGGTGCAGACAGGAGCTGGCAGGAGCGGAGCCTGGAGCAGGGTTTAGCTGCCTCTTCACACGTCGGCTCCAGTTTCCTTCCTTGTTTCTGTCGTGTCTTTTACATTCAGACGTGGATCAGGTGCAATTCAAAAATAAATTTATGTCCTTCAATATTTTACAGAAAAAAAAAAAGTGAAATAAAATTAAAATAACATTTTAGACAAACACACAAACATTCTGTAGCGCGGCCGCACACTCCGGCTCCTCGTGGGCTCAGTCACGCGGCTCAGGACTCGAGCGTTTCGTCCGTGGGTTTGTTCAGGTTTTTCTGTCGAAGCTGCGGCTCGTGGGCCTCAGGTCACATGACCCCGTCTCCGGGGAAGGACGGCGCCATTTTGAGGACTTTTTAACATTCAGACCTTTGTTTTCATGAGTTTAATATGACATCATTTTCCACGAGTCTAAAGTGAATCCACAGTTTGTATTCACCTGACAGACGGACAGGTGCCACAGGTGCGACAGGTGCGACAGGTGCGAGTGACCTGGTTTAGTCCTGGTTTAGACCTGGTTTAGTCCTGGTTTAGTCCTGGTTTAGTTCCTGGTTTACCTGGTTTAGTCCTGGTTTAGTCCTGGTTAGTCCTGGTTTACCTGGTTTTCCTGGTTTAGTCCTGGTTTAGTCCTGGTTTAGTCCTGGTTTTAGGTTTAGTCCTGGTTTAGTTTTCCTGGTTTAGTCCTGGTTTAGTCCTGGTTTAGACCTGGTTTAGTCCTGGTTTAGTCCTGGTTTAGTCCTGGTTTAGTCCTGGTTTAGTCCTGGTTTAGACCTGGTTTAGATCCTGGTTTAGACCTGGTTTACCTGGTTTACCTGGTTTAGTTTACCTGGTTTAGTCCTGGTTTAGTCCTGGTTTAGTTCTGGTCTGGTTTAGTCCTGGTTTAGACCTGGTTTAGTTCCTGGTTTAGACCTGGTTTAGTCCTCCTGGTTTAGACCTGGTTTAGTCCTGGTTTAGTCCTGGTTTAGACCTGGTTTAGTCCTGGTTTAGTCCTGGTTTTCAGTTTCGTTTTCTTTCATAAATCTAAAAGTCCAAACGTCTGATTCAAACCGAAATTCACAAATATTTTTAGAATCTTTAAAAATCTCCTCCTCTTTCACCTGCCGCACCTGCCGCACCTGTCGCACCTGCTCCACTTCAGCCCAAACTAAAACAGATCAATTTAAAGAAACTAAACTCATCTCTATGTACATCAGGGTTAAAGCTGCACTGCGGGACCAGGAAAGTTCCGCAGTGCAGCTTTAAAGTTCTGCTCCGGTGGCTCAGAGACTCGCACAGCAGCCTCCAAACAAACAAACAAACAAACAAACAAACAAACAAACAAACAAACAAACAAACGTCTACATCAAACCGCGGGAGCTGAGATTTTTCTGTTACACCAGAGAAACGACAAAAATAAAATCGTAAAAACCAGAAAATTTAAAGGTTCAGATTCTGCAAACGTTTGTGACCCTCTTTTCATTTCGTTTCAGAGGGAACATGACGCAAAAATCCACTTTTTGTCTCTTTCTCTCTGTTCTAAAGATGTTCCTCGTCACAAACCTGCATGAAGAGGTTCTAGACTCATCCATGTTTGAGTCATCTAGAGATCTCTCCTCCAGTCAGCCTATTACACTTGTGTAACTGTAACACGTCACAGATTCAGATTTCCGTGTTTATTATTTTGAAAACGTTTTATTCGCCCAAAACCACATGTTTCAGAAGTTTCTCTCAGCCTTCTCAGCCTCTTCATGCTAAGTCGCTCCCCCTTCAGAGCGTCAGACTCATGAAACTCCTGCGTCACGTCAGTTTTGTCCAGTTTTTGTGTTTTTATGAAGAATTGTTGCGTGAGTGCTCGGGGGCGGAGCCTCGTACAGACTCGTACTGCTGACCTCAAGGAGGGTTTGAATAGGTCCCAGGAGAGATCACTAGATGACTCAAACATGGATGAGTCTAGAACCTCTTCAGGCAGGTTTTAATTTGAGGAACAACGTCAAAACAGAGAGAAAGAGACAACAGTGGACTGAGCAGAACTCGTCGTCTTTAAAGATGCAAATATAAATATAAATAATCTTTTAAAGTGTAAACTATAGAAATGTGGTGAAAGAGTCTGATCTCGGGGCAGCCTCCCTCTTTCCTCTCCTCCCTCCATTCCTCTCTTCCTCCCTCTCTTCTTTCTGTCAGAGGTGCAGTGTGCTTCAGCTGGCTGCGGGGGGCGCCTCTCCTCCCTCCTCCACTTTGCCTCCTTTCCCGACGCTCTTCATTTTGGACATGAGGTCAGTGAACGTGTCCTTCACGCTCTTCTCCAGCAGCCAGCCCTCGCTCTCGCTCTCCGGGTCCTCGGGGTTCGACAGAGACGAGAGCGACGACTGCACGTACTGAAGACCGATGGTCACGCCCACCTGAGCACACACACACACACACAAGACACGATGAGACGGGTCAAAGGGCGCCACACTCTGGTCAGTCTGCCCCAGGTCAACTGTGGCATCACTGAAGATCCAGAGTGTAACAGAGCATGACGCATAACAGAAACAGACGTGTATTTGTCCTGGTCCTGCACCTCCAACAGTGTGACAAGTGTGACCCTGTATGTGGCATTACCTCTAACAGTGTGACGAGTGTGACCCTGTATGTGACATTACCTCTAACAGTGTGACGAGTGTGACCCTGTATGTGACATTACCTCCAACAGTGTGACGAGTGTGACCCTGTATGTGACATTACCTCCAACAGTGTGACGAGTGTGACCCTGTATGTGACATTACCTCTAACAGTGTGACGAGTGTGACCCTGTATGTGACATTACCTCCAACAGTGTGACGAGTGTGACCCTGTATGTGACATTACTCTTAACAGTGTGACGAGTGTGACGCTGTATGTGACATTACCTCTAACAGTGTGACGAGTGTGACCTGTATGTGACATTACCTCTAAGAGTGTGACGAGTGTGACCCTGTATGTGACATTACCTCTAAGAGTGTGACGAGTGTGACCCTGTATGTGACATTACCTCTAACAGTGTGACGAGTGTGACCCTGTATGTGACATTACCTCTAACAGTGTGACGAGTGTGACCCTGTATGTGACATTACCTCTAACAGTGTGACGAGTGTGACCCTGTATGTGACATTACCTCCAACAGTGTGACGAGTGTGACCCTGTATGTGACATTACCTCTAAGAGTGTGACGAGTGTGACCCTGTATGTGACATTACCTCTAACAGTGTGACGAGTGTGACCCTGTATGTGACATTACCTCTAACAGTGTGACGAGTGTGACCCTGTATGTGACATTACCTCTAACAGTGTGACGAGTGTGACCTGTATGTGACATTACCTCTAACAGTGTGACGAGTGTGACGCTGTATGTGACATTACCTCTAACAGTATGACCCTGTATGTGATATTACCTCTAAGAGTGTGACGAGTGTGACCCTGTATGTGTGACATTACCTCTAACAGTGTGACGAGTGTGACCCTGTATGTGACATTACCTCTAACAGTGTGACGAGTGTGACCCTGTATGTGGCATTACCTCTAACAGTGTGACGAGTGTGACCCTGTATGTGACATTACCTCTAACAGTGTGACGAGTGTGACCCTGTATGTGACATTACCTCTAACAGTGTGACGAGTGTGACCCTGTATGTGACATTACCTCCAACAGTGTGACGAGTGTGACCCTGTATGTGACATTACCTCTAACAGTGTGACGAGTGTGACCCTGTATGTGACATTACCTCTAACAGTGTGACGAGTGTGACCCTGTATGTGACATTACCTCTAGTGTGACGAGTGTGACCCTGTATGTGACATTACCTCTAAGAGTGTGACGAGTGTGACCCTGTATGTGACATTACCTCTAAGAGTGTGACGAGTGTGACCCTGTATGTGACATTACCTCTAAGAGTGTGACGAGTGTGACCCTGTATGTGACATTACCTCTAAGAGTGTGACGAGTGTGACCCTGTATGTGACATTACCTCTAAGAGTGTGACGAGTGTGACCCTGTATGTGACATTACCTCTAACAGTGTGACGAGTGTGACCCTGTATGTGGACATTACCTCTAACAGTGTGACGAGTGTGACCCTGTATGTGACATTACCTCTAACAGTGTGACGAGGATGACGAGCGCCCCGATGGTGTTCATCATGCCGCCGTAGTAGGAGAGCAGCGCGTCGGAGCAGCCGCGGCGCCACACGTTCAGCTCCTCGGTGTAGTGGTCGTAGCTGTAATGCGCCGTGTTGTTGGTCATCTGCCCCTGGATGCACGGACGCGGTGACGACGGGTTACAGCAGCTGAAGGGAACGCCGTCCATCAGGTACTGCCCGTCCACGTTACTGCCGATGCGACTGGAACACAAAAATGCTGCAGGTTAGGCCAGATGCCCTCCCAGACAAGCTCCACTGGGTTTTTAAACTCCACACGCTTTCACTACAAACATTTGGATCATTTCAGTCCTGGAACTGATAATCTCTACTGAACGTTGTACTGTTGTAGGGAGTATTATCTGTTACATAAAGGTGAGTTGTAGGGAGTATTATACTAGGGAGTATTATACATAAGGATGAGTTGTACAGTTGTAGGGAGTATTATCTGTTACATAGGGTGAGTTGTACAGTTGTAGGGAGTATTATCTGTTACATTGGGTGAGTTGTACAGTTGTAGGGAGTATTATCTGTTACATAAAGGTGAGTTGTAGGGAGTATTATCTGTTACATAAGGATGAGTTGTACAGTTGTAGGGAGTATTATCTGTTACATAAGGATGAGTTGTACAGTTGTAGGGAGTATTATCTGTTACATAAAGGTGAGTTGTAGGGAGTATTATCTGTTACATAAGGATGAGTTGTACAGTTGTAGGGAGTATTATCTGTTACATAAAGGTGAGTTGTAGGGAGTATTATCTGTTACATAAGGATGAGTTGTACAGTTGTAGGGAGTATTATCTTTTACATAAGGGTGAGTTGTTGTCACCAGGTGAAACAGTGTTTGGAGTTTTGGAAAAGTGGACAGATTAATAATAAAGAGCAAAACAAAAACAAACACAACTCCAGGTCTGTGTGACGAGGAACATTAGATCATTAGAACATTAGAACATTAGATCATTAGATCATTAGATCATTAGAACATTAGATCATTAGAACATTAGATCATTAGATCATTAGAACATTAGATCATTAGATCATTAGAACATTAGAACATTAGATCATTAGATCATTAGATCATTAGATCATTAGAACATTAGAACATTAGATCATTAGATCATTAGAACATTAGAACATTAGATCATTAGAACATTAGATCATTAGATCATTAGATCATTAGAACATTAGAACATTAGATCATTAGATCATTAGAACATTAGATCATTAGATCATTAGATCATTAGAACATTAGATCATTAGAACATTAGATCATTAGATCATTAGAACATTAGAACATTAGAACTTGGATTAAATCTCTCAGGAGTCATACTCGTCACACAGGAGATTTAAAGGGACAGTGTGACGTGTTATAAAAGTGAGTTTGGAGGTAAAAATCTCTGTGACTTCCTGTGGAGTCGCCTCATGTGATTATCGACGCGACACAGAAATAAACGTCTTAAGAATAATTCATGTAACACGTCACAAATAAACACTCCTGCCCCCTACAGGCTCAGTCCTGCAACACCACAGTCTGTCTCTGTCTCTGTCTCGTGTTTTTAGACAAAATCTCCAAAAGTCAAATCCACAAATGTTTTTTTCTGATTATTTCTCTCAGTGACAAAGTTCGTTCTCCAACCACAACGTCTGATTCGGCGGAACATAAAAAAAACAGACTTTGGAAAATCAAAGCTAAAGGAAAAACATTTCCATGGAAACAAGGAGGTGACAAATAAAGAGTCAGGTTTGTGGAGATGCAAGCTCGCCCACAGTAATGACCCCTGACCCCTGTTTATATAAGTGGACATAACATTCCAAACAGGAAGTGAGCACGGGGGCACTTCCTGTTCCATCAACTCCAGTTCACTTTACTCTGAAAAACTGTGGAAGTTGGTACTTTTCTTTTGGTTTGCTCTTGTGTAAAAACTTACACATTGTGGATTGTTGTGGAAAAAATGACATCTCTTGATGATAAATAATTCATCCATTTGCAAAATCCGGTGAGTTTTTGGAATAAGACAAAGGTTTATTCTTGTTCCAGCCGATATGGACCAGACCTGGAGATGGACAGTGTCTCCTGCGTCGAGCTGATCAACTGAACTTCTATTTGAGGTAAAATAACAGAGTTTTGTCTGTTGAGATTTTCCACATGTTGATGAAGCTCTGGGCTCAGCTACAAATCACTTTCACTGACACAAACACAGACTGAATTCTTCACACAACAAACATTTCCATTACAGGATTCTGAATGTGAAGTTAATCTGCAGTGACAGGGTTGTGGGTCAGGTGCAGGTGCGGCCCTGTCGCTGAACATTTCATAAACACATTAGAAAAGGTTTAAACGCAGGAAGTAAACAGGCTCAGGGGTCACGGGGTCACGGGGTCATCTGCTGTAACGATGCACACTTCACTCAACACTCGAACTATCACCACGGCAACGACGCAGAACTAAACCAGGACTATAACAGGACTAAACCTGGTCTAAACCTGGACTATAACAGGACTAAACCTGGTCTAAACCTGGTCTATAACAGGACTAAACCTGGTCTAAACCTGGTCTATAACAGGACTAAACCTGGTCTAAACCTGGTCTATAACAGGACTAAACCTGGTCTATAACAGGACTAAACCAGGTCTAAACCTGGTCTAAACCAGGACTAAACCAGGTCTAAAAGTGGACTACAGTATGGTGACTGTAGTTCTAAACAAAAAAGATCCAGAGGGATTAAAAATGGGTCAAATCTAAATGAAACAAACCCACAAACTGAAGATCTGTTTAAGTCCCACCTGAAGGAGGTCGTGAACCACAGTTTGAGAAACACTGGTCTTTGGTGAACATTGAGTTTGTAAAGACGCTCATGATTTTCTCAAAACTCTTTAAAAACACAAAAACACAAAAACTCAGGGACTGGAAAAGTCAAACCATAAAAACCACCCGGTGTTGTATTTGTGAGGAGGACAGGTTCTTGTTCTGTTCATAAATCTGATCTTTTCATCGTTTCCTGCAGCGTCAGAGAAACAGAGGGAAAGTGGGAGGACGAGGACAGAGACTCAAATGACTGAACAACAAAAAGTTGGACACGTGTGAAACTGTTGAACCAAGAAAACAGACTCAGGTTAAAGCCACAGGAGAAAAACTGAGAAACAAAAAGCTCAGAACAGGAGGAAGAAAAAGAGATGGAACAGAAACAGACAGAACCAAGAGCAGTCGTGTCTGTAGTGTTTACATCACAGGTGTCAAACACACGGCCCGGGGGCCGGATCCGGCCCTCCAAGACCTTTAATCTGGCCCTCGGCTGATTTTCTATTCAAATATTTTAATGATATTTTCTATTAAAATGGTGTTAATTTTCTGTGGTGTTTATCACAGCAGCGTCTCCAGCGTCTCTGTACGTGGCCCCTCCCACCAGAGCAGCACAAATGAAGACTTGTCTCTTTCCAAACGCTCTTAAAGGACGATCGTTTTGACTGTTGACCGTGACACCCTCATCAGAAAAATGTCCAACATGAGAAAAGTGGAGCCGAGTGCAGGATTTTACAACAAAAATTGACTTTTCCTGTTTACAGACAAGTTCATGTTAAAACTTTGTGTTGAAATTGTATTTTTCTTAAAGTTTCAGGTTGTTCATAATATTATAATATTTTGTAAAAGAAAGAGTTCATCAATTAAAAAAGATTTGTGTAATAGATTTGTGTTTCTCTGCACAAATATTTGAACTTATTGTTATTTTGGGGTTTATATGACATGAGTTTTCTGACACTTTGGATCAAAGTCGGTTGGACACGACCCCCGGAACAAAATGAGTTTGACTCTCCTGATCTACAGTATCTGTAGTATCTGTAGTAGTACTAGTATTTTGCAGTAGTAGTACTTCTAATGCCCTGTGAGTCCTTGTGAATAATAATTCTATTTCCTAAAAACACACTGGAATCAAACATCAGCACAGATACTACATTTTTCCATGGATCAAATACACAGATTGTATAAACAAATGAACTAACTCCAATTTACACCAAAGTGTAACAGAGTCAGAGCAGCAACACGAGCAGTTTACTCCATCAGAGTCATTCGTGCGTCCAGAGGTCGTCGTGTCGCTACTCGTCGCTCAAATTAGGTCAAAGTTCTAATTTTTCAGTGTCAGAGTGTCTCCAGATTTTTATCAGGGGAAACAGGAAATAATCACGAGGTGTCAAAATAAACTTCCTGTTCTTTCAGAATCCTGTTGTGTAAAATCTCTACAGCGACGTAAACACCGAGCGTCGCATCAGGAGCTCGAGGAACGACTCAAACACTCAATCTACAACATCTGACCACATCAGACACAAACTTTACAAGAACAAGTGAAGGAAAAGACGCGAAGAGCAACGAGCAAAAGTGAAACGCAGCTCAACAGGTACGACTCATAACACAGCAAAACCTCCACAAAACCTCCACAAAACATCACAAAACCTCCACAAAACCTCCACAAAACATCACAAAACCTCCACAAAACATCACAAAACCTCCACAAAACCTCCACTCTGACACTTTAGTTTAGAGATTTAAAACAGAACAGAAACAATCAACAACGAAAACATGAACTATGGGAAAAGTTTAGAGTTTAAACATGAGAGACAAATAGCAAAATAAAAAAAAAATAAAGCAGAGAAGAGAAGCTGCCCGTCTGCTCCGTTGGCCCCTCCCACTCCTCCAGCCCTAAAAACTACAAACATGGCGTCCACCAGCAAAGTCATGGCTCCATTTCAGATTTCTCTTCTGAACTTTTGACCGTGTTTATCTGCTCTAAATGTGGAAGCCCCTCCCCCCCGATCAGGACCCAATCAGACCAAGACCTGGGATAATCCTTGGACCTGACCGGGACTTTTCCAGGAATCCACTTAGACCCAAACCACAGAGAATAAAGATTAAAGATTAAACCAAGCAAAGTTATCAAATCACAAAGACTGCAGGTGTTTACACACGAGAATGATCAGGCTTTTATTTGGAAACTTATCGCCGTTTGAGCGTCAACACCACAGAGAGTTAAAGACGTGTCCTGAGGTGATATTAGGAAAAGGAATTTATTTAAGGACAAAACAGCAAAATAAAAACCCCAGGGTCATGTGGAGCGGGGTCAAAGGTCAAAGGTCAGAGTGAGGAGCCACGACACGACACACACAAACTGAACTGGAGCCAGAGTCCATGGAGCCCGATCACGTCCATGAACA